AATTGGAAGATCACAGACAGGCCCATCCACCCCCCAAAGGGCCAGGGCCTCCTCTCTGAGCCTAGGGTGGAGGCCATGCAGACAGCAGACAGACTAGGGCTTCACCCAGCAGGGGAGCCAGGTTGGAAGAGGAAGGCCTGGGAAGAGCTCTGTGGAAGGGGATCTCAGAGAAAGGTGAGGATGTGGGACAGCTGGGGGATAAAGACCAGATGGCGTCAGGGTCTTCCAAGGCAAACCAAGTCCCGGGCCTGTGTTACCTTTGGCTGTGTACAGGTCCACCTCTACAGTGGGATTGCCCCTGGAATCCAGGATTTCCCGGGCAAGGATTTTCTGCATGGCCATGGCTGCAGGACAAGGGGTTGAGTGTGGACAGTTGATCCCTTTAGGAACCCCAAATCCTGTGCCCTTTAAGAGTCTTCCCCACCCCAAGAAGGCAGGTGCTGGAGCTAAAAATATCCCACAAAAAGGTCACAGACCAAAGAGGCAGGCACAGCCCCCTCCCCCACTCAGAACAGCTCCTATTCCACCCTCCACCAGACGCAAGAATCCAGGGGCCTCTCCTTTACAGCTCCAGCGAGTCTGATTCCACCACTCCCTGAACCCCTTTACCGCAAAGTCAAGCAATCTGTTCTCCATGGCTTCCTAGCCATCAGATCTTCTGTCATTATTCTGTTTGTTTCCCCACCTGCTCTTCAGTCTTCAGATCCTAGGGGGGCCCACATCCTCCGCCTGGCTGTAGCCCTAGCTACCCTTCTCCGTCTCTCTGCCTGCCTCTCTTCACATCCTCATTTCCCTACCCATGGCTACCCATCCTGCTTGCTCCAACTCCTCCAGTCTTTTGTAAGCACCCCCAGTCCCAGGAGGGGAAAAAAGCTGACATTTCCTTCAAGCCAGCACCACCCTCACCCTTTACCACTTCCACCCCCTGGGGCTGAAAGATTCACCAGACCTGAATGTCTTGGCTGGGGCTTGGGGTGAGCTCCGGGTCTAGGTGGCAGCTGGGACAGTGTCAGCTCACCCCCTCTCAGGCTGGGCATTTATCCCCAGCCACCCTGTCCCCCAGCCAGCCCCGCCTCTCTCCCTCTCTATCCTCCCCCTCCGCACCCGGCTGGCAGCCAAGTGCCCACTACAGCCTAAGGCCCCCTTCCCAAAGGTCAATAACTACCCCTCCTTTCTCTCTGTTCCCCAGTAAAATGTCCCTACTTTTAATTCTAGCGCTGGGAAGGAGCTTCCGAAGGGGGGCAGGGGGGTCTTCCCCTCCCCAGGACTATATTCCCCTTTTGCAAAGGTTAAAGGGGAACTAGTGCCATTTAGGAAAGGCCAGGAGTAACCTGAGCCCCGCAGGGCTGGGGAGGGGGCCTGGGAGAGGGGCTGCCGGATGGGCATCCACACATGCCGAGCGCACGTGGCCGGCAGGGGCTGCCGCTGCCCTCGGTGGGGGGAGGAACCGGGGCTCTGGGCCAGCTGTGGAGTCTAAAACGGAAACCCCCATTCGGAAGGCGAGAGGGTCTCACCTCTTAGGGCCCTCATCGCGGCCTCTGCCCGCAAGCAAGGAAGGCGGGGGAGCGGGAGGGGAGACG